AAGGTGCTCGTAGTTATTGCGGTTGAACCTAAGCCATAACAAATTCAAAAAACAAATTCTGTTTGAGATAAGCCTCCTACATTCTCTTCAACAACTTGATCTCGGTTGGAATATGCTAGAAAGCAAGATACCATGGCAACTTGGTCAACTGAAAATGCTAGAAATGTTGAATCTCTCTCACAACATGCTTTATGGTTTCATTTCAACAACTTTGGAAGATTTGAGGAGCTTGACAGTTGTGGACATATCCTACAATGAGCTAACGGGTCCTATTCCAAACATCAAAGCCTTTCAAAAGGCTCCATTTGAGGCGTATATGAATAATATAGGCCTATGTGGCAATGCTAGTAGTCTAAAGCCTTGCAATTCTCTTCTCAAAAATAGTGCACGAAAGAGAAACAAAATTATCATTTTGATAGTACCACTCTTATTGGATAGTCTGTTTCTATTATTTATCATTGTTGGAGGTTTTCACTTTCTCCACCAAAGAAGTAGAAATAGAAAAGCCCAATTAGTGGAGGGACAATGTCAAGACATATTTGCAATATGGAGTTATGATGGGAAGATGGTCTACGAGAACATCATTCAGGCCACCGAAGATTTTGATTCCAATTACTCGTATAGGGGAAGGAGGCTATGGAATTGTTTACAAAGCGAGTGTTGCCGATAGATCGGGTGGTTCGTTGTGAAGAATCTTCGCCAATCAAAAGAGGGCGAGTTCACCAATTTCAAAGCTTTTAGAAGTGAGGTTCGTGTGTTAATTGACATACGACATCGAAATATTGTGAAGTTATATGGTTTCTACTCACATAGAAAGCACTCCTTTCTTGTTTATGAGTTCATAGAAATGGGAAGTTTGAAAAAGATTTTAAATGGTGAAGATCAAGCAATGGAGTTAGACTGGATGAAAAGGCTCAATGTCGTTAAAGGGGTGGCAAGTGCATTATCCTATCCGCACCATGATTGCACTTCTCCAATCATTCATCGAGACATTTCTAGTAATAATGTTCTTTTGGATGAAGAATATGAGGCTCGTGTTTTTGATTTCGGCACAGCAAGGCTTTTAATGCCGGACTCAAGCAATTGGACTTCATTTGTCGGCACCTTTGGATACACGGCTCCTAGTGCGTTTCTTGATTTCTTTCCTAATATATAGATACATCAATCATTAAATTTTTCTTTATATATTTGTTGCTTTAATTATAAAGCCAATTTTTTTGCGAAGCTGTCTTACACAATGAAAGTGAACGAAAAATGCGATGTCTATAGCTTTGGAGTAGTAAGAATGGAAGTAATTATGGGAAGGCATCCAGGTGATCTCATCTCATCTCTTTCATCATCGAATTTCCCTCACCATCATCCTCGAAATACACTAGCATACATTGTTGAAGGACATCATAGACCAAAGGATCCCACTTCCTAAAAATCAAGTTGCGGATGGTGTAGTCTACATCACCAAAATAGCATGTGCATGCTTGGTTGCCGATCCCAAATTTAGGCCAACCATGAGAAAAGTTGCTTCGGAGGTCATAGTTCGATGGCCTCCATTGCGAAAGCCATTCTCCACAATAACATTGCAAGATCCGTTGAGTGGTCGAGAATTTTGAAAAGAGTTAGTATGTTCCTTTGAATAATTTCCTAACTTTGTTTGTAATGCGGTGTTTCTCTGTTTTGTATTTTGTTTCTTCAACAATCATTATGTTTTTTTTTTTAATTACCTTCAAAATAGGGAAAGGAACATCAAAACCCGTAGGCTTTCGCCTATCCAAGCTGGTATTTCTCAATATAATCTATTCTTACTCAAGTCAAGAAACATCAACGAGCTACAACTCCTTAAAGAAGCTGGCAATTCTCTCAAATAGTTGTTTTTACTTAAAGTCAATGTCCGAAGCAACAATAACGATCCTATTGAGCTTGGAATTTCACTCGACAAATTTTTGTTGCATAGATTCAGAACAATCATTTGTTGCAAGTGCAAGAAACAATCGGGACGCCTCCTAGATAAAAGGTTATTTGAAAGGTCAAGGAATCTCAAAACGCTACCGGAAATCTGACATATAGAAGAAATGGATCCGGAGAGGTTATTATTGGATAGATCTAAAGCTGCTAGATTAGAATGAAAAAGTGGTAATGGACCCTCAAAATTAATATTTGGTAATGGTTACTTGAGAAACCATTCTCACTCTTTCTCCACCTCCTTTTTTCACTCCCCGTATTCTTCTTTACTTCTTTCTTTGCTTTTGCTCCTACTTCCTCTGTAACTTTATTATTTGGTAATTATAAAAAAGCTCTCTACAGATGTTATCAAGCTTTTTTCTTAACCATTAGATTTCTAGTTCTAGGCTATATATGCCCAAAAAAAAAAAAAAAATCCGTTCTTTTCTTTGTTTAAGGATAGCCATACTATAATCAGATGACACATCAAAAAATGCAACAATCAGATGTAAAGCTCAAGGAAAAATTCAGCTAGATAGTTACACAAAACGCAAATAACACTTAGCAAACCACTGATCTGCATCTCCATAGGATATAAAGCACAGAACTGCATGGAGAGAACAACTTGATACAAGGACATTAGCATTCAAAGCTAAACTCTTTAGCTTTACCGAGATGGACTGTGCATTAAAGTACAAATTGATTATAACATCACCATTGTTTTTTCTTACCAAAAACTTTAAGCACCGCACCTTTGTCAAAATACCATTGAAACACAAGCGTAAAATATATTACTTTCACATGCACAGAGTAAAGCACACCCACACACACAGTTATCTTAACCACTGAAATTCTAAACGAGTCTGAAACAAAAACAAATCAGTTGCAGTCTTATAAAGAAGTATAGTGTTTGGCAACGTTTCATGATTATTTAGAAAATCCCTACACAAGCACTTTAACAGAGCCCCTGAGGAGCTACCAAGTTTTTGTTCCGAGCAGCTTTTGCGTCCACATCCTGATTCAGCAACTTCAATGAAGCCTTGGTCTTCAAACCATATGTTCTGACTTCTGTAAGCATAAATACAAGAAATTCAAAGCTTTGTTGGTATTAACTTCTAATGTTGAATGCTACAGAATGTATTGTACGTAAAGATCATAGATTTCAATGCCTGCAATTTTGTTTACATAATAACATGATCATAGATTTAAATGCCTGCAATTTTGTTTACAGAATAACATGATCCCGCAACAGAAGAACCACGGAAAGCATTAGAGATATTCGGCCGCAATCATTTATCAGTTCGGAATCTTGACTATTTAAGTAAAGAACAAATTCTTTCCTGCTGTTTTCTTTTGTGCTCTAATCATTCTTTTCGTATTGGTGATGCTATATGATATTTTCTTATTACATGACAAAGTTGAAAATTTCAATGCCACCTCATGCTTCATGCTTAATGTAATACCCTTTCAATTTGCAACTTGAAAGTTATATCCTGTTTATATTTTAAGCAGATAAAAAAAAAAATCATTTCAATTGTTCATGTATGCCAATTCTCAGTACTTTGAAACAATCTAACCAAAGCAAATTGATATCATGCCTCTAAATCAGATAAAAATAAAGGGTCAGTGAAAATTAACCATGTGATGCAACTGAAAAGAAAGTGAACCGTCAATGATTCTAATTGATCCTTATTTCTTGTAAATGCCTTCTATTTGGGATTTTTTTTTTTTTCTGATTTAGAAATCTTGAGCCCATTAGGAATATTTGTTTAAAAAGCATTCATTACTCCGGAAAAAGTATGGATCATGGTAAAATTAGGACATATTCAGAATTGTTTATAATTCAGAAGAAATCAGGAGAAAAAAAAAACTTCGATAGTAGTTAGACCAACGATTTTATATAAAACAAAAAAATAATTTATTAAATCCAAATCTAATGATATAATAATTGCCGTTGAGGGGAGGTTGAGGGGAGGTGAGATCGGAAGTAAGATGGATTTTTTTTTCTTTATATATATATATATATATATATATATATATATATATATATAAATTGTTATTTACATACGGTTTAAAGATAATAGAATATATATATATAATATTTTTTTTAGATTTTAGTTTGAACATATATATTTGATTATATTATTTTTATTATTTAAAATTTATTTCTTATTAAAACTCTCATCAAATTAATCTTTTGATATAATTTTATTTATTAACAAATTTAGTTTCTTAATATATAAATTTTGGAATAAAAATTTAGAAAATTAGTGTTTTATTTTTTAAAAGTATATTATTATAATTTATACAATAAATTCTTCTTTTGCTTTTTAAATGAGTGTTTAATTTTTTAAAATATATTATTATAATTTATACAATAAATTCTTCTTTTGCTTTTTAAATGAGTGTTTAATTTTTTAAAATATATTATCATAATTTATAAATTTTAAGATAGATAGAGAGAGAGAGAGAGAGCTAAAAGTATGTTTTAGATAGTCGACTTAGTTTTTTTTTAAAATATTAATAATCGGTTAAAAGAATTCACAAGTTTTATTTACTTTTTTATATATATTTATTTAAAATTTATCGAATCAATTTTGTTGTTGTTTTTATTTTAATCGTTGGCTTTAATATATATATATATATATATGCGTGCGTGCGTGCACACGAATCATTAGTTTTGTGAAAAATTAAATATATATCTCGTATACATAATATCAATTATTTGTTATTTATTTTTTTATATTCTATTTTTTTTATAAAAAAATAAGCTAGATAATGCTTTGAAAGAACTTTCAAATTATTCAAATACAAAATTTTATGCTAATATTATTAAATATTTTATTAATAAATATATATAAATCAAACGATTTTATTTAATATATAGATTCGATTTATATTAATCACTAAAATAAAGCTTCTACTCACATTATACCATACGAATCGTTAATTTTACACATGTAATGATTATTTAACCACGAGCATAGCGCAGGTATTTGACTAGTGTTGTCGAATTCTAGAGGTCATTGCCCTGACTTTTACTTTCCTAAACGGATTCCTATGGTCTAATGTGCTGGACGGCTTGTACCCTGTTGGTGGGCATTAGTGAGAAATCAAAAGCATCAAAGTACTTTGAAGGAATCAAATTTACAAAGACATGCAAGTCTTACCTGAATCCCAGCATGACTACACAAATAGAAGTCAAATTCAGTTGGATGACAAATTTTTGAATCCACAACAGTACCTGCCATATGAGAAGAGTTTAGCAAAAAATATCATGTGAATCTAAAACAGCTGGAACACAATTCTCTCATCACCAAGCTAGATTGATTACCAGGCAATATATTCCCACTCCGGTCAACAGCATTACGGTCACGATGATCATTTGCAAACAGTCTAGTGTGATGACGCTTCTGAACCACAACAAATGTCACAGGAGGCTGGTAGTTGGGCTCTAAAGAAGCACATGCCTGATGATGAAATCAGAAAAATGAAAAAGAGGCTCACTTGATCCAACAAGGTGAGTAACATGTAAATAAAACAGAGAGAGATTTGAAGGATAGCAGTTTTACCTTGCGGATTGCATCAAGTTCGTACAACAAAACTTGATAGAACTGTCCTTCACTGACACCATCTCTGGAAAATAAACACATCATTAGATATTGCAACAATAAGCAACAAAACAGAAGAGAGAACAGAACGATACCGATAGAATATAATTCTCTGTGGTTTCTGTCCGTCAATGATTCTAATTGATCCTTATTTCTTGTAAATGCCTTCTATTTGGGATTTTTTTTTTTTTTCTGATTTAGAAATCTTAAGCCCATTAGGAATATTTGTTTAAAAAGCATTCATTACTCAGGAACAAGTATGGATCATGGTAAAATTAGGACATATTCAGAATTGTTTATAATTCAGAAGAAATCAGGAGGGAAAAAAAAAAAAAAAGTCAACAGTCGTAAGCAATAGAAGACCACGCACCCGCACACGATCTTTTCCATCTGCACCTTTCACTGAGTGCAAAGGGAGATTAGATCAGCTTTGATGAATAAAAGAGGAATTGGTAGAAAATTGGAAAGCTGAAGCAAATGAAACCCATTTTGATAAAAATTAAATAAAAAGACAAAACCATAGTAGTTAGGGAAATCCAGAAGATTCTATGTAAAATGGAATACAGCGCATTAGGGTGGGGGGTATAAATAGAAAGATGCGGAGATAATGGGCGAAGGATATGCGTGACATTAGGTTTCCAGACTCCAGATTGATTGCCAGCTAGGTTGACCAGGCATCGAATGGAAGTGAAACAGGTAGAGTTAGTGGTTTGATTGATGGATTGGAGATCGTTAGAGAGTGAGGGTAGAGACTGCCGGTAGAGAGGAGGACTAGGAGGCGAGGGAGGATGTGTTACGGACGTGGTGAGGTGGCGTTTGCGGACGGAGAGATTACGATGGCGGGCGGTGAGGGAGCGAGCTAGAGCTGGGATCATTTTCGATCGGAGAGAGAGAGAGAGAGCGAGAAATTAGGAATTTGGAGATTATGACGTCAGCAGAGGGATTTTGGGGGCTATTTATCAAGGTGGATGGGATTTTTGGACTTGGGCCTACAAAGCTTGAGTTAGAGACTCTTGGGTTAGGATTGGGCCCAAAAGACTAGAGTTAGGGACTTTTGGATTAGGCTTGGACCTAAAGGACTTGAGTTGGCAACTAGTAAAATTATTTTGGATGTTTTATTTATGATAAATATTGATTTTCCTTTTTTTTTCTTTTTTTTTTGGTAGAATGATGTTGATTTTTCTTAAAATTTTCCAATTTTTTTATGATATCAAAAATAAATTATTTTATTTAAGAAGATAAAATGGTGTGTGTTCTATTTATGTCTAAATTATTTTGGTTAAAAATTAATCATATCTAATTAATCTATTTAAATTAATATAATTAAAACTCATGGTTAAGTTAGGAAATGAAATACAAAATTAATTACCAAACACCTAGTCGATGCTTTCAATTTTTTTGCTATGAGAAAATTACATAAAAGCTAAAAAATAAGATGTCAAATAAGCTCTAAATTCATAATTTTATTTAAATTTTTGACATAGGCATTGTTAGGATCGTTAGAGTTATAGTTGAAGTTGTCAAACTTCGTTCGGTTAATAATTCTTATTATTTAGGGCATGTAGGTAGAATTTGACTATTTCCTTAGCCATTTACCACGTAAAACGTGGGTCGTTTGTTTACATTTTATTTCTTTGTAAGGCTTATATAAGCCAACGACTTGCTTTGAATAAATGACGCTTTGTGTGCTTAGAGATTATAACAATGCGGTATCGAGCTTCATCAAGAGGCCTAATTGTGAGAGAAAGAAAACCGCAATTTCTTAAAAAGAGAGAGAATCGAAGTATGACGAGTGAAAATAATTTCGTTCAACCTACGATTCCTAAGTTTGATGGCCATTACGATCATTAGTCCATGCTTATGGAAAATTTTCTTCGTTCAAAGGAGTATTGGAGTTTGGTGGAGAATGGAATCCCTGTTGCGGCGAGAGGAATGGAGCTTATTGAAGCACAATAAAAATCAATTGCGGAACAAAAGCTAAAAGACTTGAAGGTTAAGAATTATCTATTCCAAGTCATTGATCGAACCATTATGGAGACCATCCTCAATAGAGACACTCGCCAAGTACATTTGGCACTCTATGAAGCGAAGTACCAAGGTTTCACAAGAGTTAAAAGAGCACTAGCTGTAAGGTCTTTGGAAGGAGTTTGAGATTCTACATATGAAAGAGGGCGAGAGTGTTAATGAGTATTTCGCTCGGACACTCACCATAGCAAACAAGATGAAGATTCATGGTGAAAAAATACAGCAAGTGGTGATTATTGAAAAGATCTTGAGATCAATGACCTTAAGGTTCGACTATGTTATGTGTTCGATTGAAGAGTCTAATAACTTAGACACTTTAACCATTGATGAGTTGTAGAGCAACTTGTTAGTACATGAGCGAGAGGGTGAACGGGCATTGAGGAGATGAGTAGGCATTAAAGGTGACTTACGATGATAGATTTGGTGGAAGAGGTGGCGGTCGAGGTCGTGGAGTTTTTCAAGGGAGAGGTAGAGTACGAGGCAAACAAGCATTCAACAAAGCTATAGTTGAGTGTTATAATTAGGGCACTTTCAATATGAGTGTCCTAAATGGAAGAAAGAAGCAAATTATGCTTGAGCTTGAGGAGAAAGAAGAGATGTTGTTGATGTCATATGTGGAGTTAAATCAATCAAGGAGAGAAGATGTCCGGTTTCTTGACTTAGGGTGTAAGCAATCATATGTGTGCAAATAAGCGAGTGGTTCTCGGATCTTGATGAGGAATTTCGACAATCCGTAAAGCTCGGGAATAATTCCAAGATGATTGTGTTGGGAAAGGGTTATATTAGGTTGTAAATTGCTGGAGTTACTTAGGCAATCACTAATGTTTTTTATATACACGAGTTAAAAAATAATTTATTAAGTATTTGATAGTTACAAGAAAGAGGTGTAGCTATTTTGATACAACATGGGGTGTGTAGAATCTATCATCCCAACTCCCGATAAAAGACTTATTATGCAAATAGCAATGTACGTAAACATGATGTTCATACTACTTGCAAGAGTTACGTCGAAAGCTCCCACTTGTTTCCATACAACTCTTGAAGACAACACTCACCTTTAGCACTTGTAGATATGGGCACCTAAGTTTCAAGGGTCCGAGAACATTGCGGTATAAGGAAATGGTGAGAGGATTACCACGGTTGAAGGCATCATCTAGAGTATGCACTAATTGCATGGTGGGAAAGCAACACGGGGATGCAATTCTAAAGAGGAGTTTATGGAGAGCATCACAAAGACTACGGTTGGTACATGCCGACATCGCGGAACCATCAAACTCGTTTCCAACGGTAAGAAGAGGTATTTCATAAGTTTTATTGATGACTACGAGTTGTAAGGTGTGGATATATTTTCTTGCTGAGAAATGCGAAACTTTTACTATCTTCGAGAATTATAAAAAAAAAATTTGAAAAAGAGGCGAGGAGCTTTTATTCGTTGTACGCGCACGGATACGAGTGGAGAGTTCACATCTCTTAAGTTCAATGCCTTTTGCAAAGCTAATGGTATTAACAAGCGGCTCACAATAGCCTACACTCCCCGACAAAATGGAGTAGCCGAACGCAAGAACGGGACAATCATGAACATGGTTAGAAGCATGCTATCGGAGAAGCAAGTTCTAAAGAATTTCTTGGCGAAAGCGATGAATTGGACAGCGCATGTGCTTAATAGAAGTCCCACATTGGCGAGTGAAAGATATGACTCCTAAAGAGGCTCGGAGTGGTGTTAAACCCAATGTTGCTTATTTTCAAGTTTTTGGATGCATTGGTCATGTTCATGTGTCGGACGAGTAAGAGAAAGAAGCTAGATGATAAGAGTTTTCGGTATGTGTTGCTAGGGATGAGTGAAGAGTCTAAAGCATATAGACTTTATGATCCAACATCCGAGAAGATAGTAGTAAATAGAGATATGGTTTTTGAAGAAAATGAGTGATGGAATTAGGGGAGGAGTAATGAAGAAGTAAGACTTGATGTCCTCGATTGGGGAGATAGTAATGAAGAGGGAAGTGAACATGATCAAAGTGAAGAAGAATCGAAGAGGAGGTAGTAGTAGAAGGAGGAGGAGGAGAGGTTAGCTTACCTTCAAATGAGTCACCTAGAGAGAATTCTCAAACATATGAAGAAAGCTCATCGAAGGGAGGAACAAAAAAGTACCATCCTGGATGGAAGATTATGTGAGTGGGGGAGAATTTTCGGAAGAAGAAGTTAAGCACAATTTGGTTACGTATACTTCCCTCTTCGGATCGGACTACCTTTGAAGAAGTTGTTCGGAGTTCCAAATGGAGAGTCTGTAATAGACATGGAGATAGAAGTGATCGAAAGGAATGGGACTTGGGAGTTGACAGATTTGCCTAAAAAAATGAAGAAGATTGGAGTAAAATGAGTTTTCAAAACTAAACTCAACAAAAATGGTGAGGTTGACAAGTGTAAGGCTCGAGTTGGTGGCGAAAGGGTACGCACGACAACATGGTATAGATTATGCGAGGTCTTTGCGCTCGTGGCTAGGTGGGATATGATTCAAATGGTAATTGCTTTAGCGAGTTCAAAATGGTTGGAGTGTGTATCGACTTGATGTCAAAAGCGCTTTCTTACATGGAGAGTTAAATGAAGCGGTGTTTGTCGAGCAACCACAAGGTTATGAGAAGAAAAGTGAAGAGCATAAGGTGTATAAATTGAAGAAGGCATTGTATGGCCTCAAACAAGCCCCTCGTGCATGGTACAGTCGGATTGAAGCATACTTTGTCAAAGAAGGATTTGAGAGGTGCAGCTGTGAACACACTTTATTCATAAAAACAGAAGATGAAGGTAAAATTTTGATTTTTAGGTTATATGTTGATGATCTAATTTTTATTGGTAATCATGAGAGTATGTTTGTTAAGTTCAAGAATTCTATGAAACTTGAATTTGATATAAGCGATTTGGGAAAGATGAAATATTTTCTTGATGTGGAGGTTTTACAAAATTCGAAGGCATTTATATTAGTCAAAGAAAGTATATAAAGGAAGTTTTGGAGAGGTTTAGGATGGAAAAGAGTAATAGTGTGAAGAATCCCATTGTTCCTAGCATTAGACTAATGAAGGATGAAGAAGGAGCCAAGGTGAATGCTACCATGTACGAATAATTGGTGAGGAGCCTTATGTATCTAACTACAACAAGGTCGGACTTGATGTATATGGTGTGTCGTATTAGCGGATTCATGGCAAGTCCAAGCGAGTTGCATTTGCAAGCTACGAAAAGGGTGTTAAAATACTTGAAAGGTACTTGTGGATTTAGGAGTCTTTTATCGAAAGGGGGTAATGAAGAGTTGATGGCATATACAAACAATGATTATGCGGGAGAAGTAGATGACGGGAAAAGTACTTTTGGGTATGTGTTTCTACTCGGTGAAGGAGGCTGTGTCATGGTCCTCTAAAAAGCGACATGTGGTTACTTTGTTATGATTTTATTTAAATTTTTGATATAGGCATTGTTATGGTCTGTTAGAGTTATAGTTGAAGTTGCCAAACTTCATTCGGTTAATAATTCCTATTATTTAGGACATGTAGGTAGAATTTATCTATTTCCTTAGCCATTTACCACATAAAACTTGGGTTGTTTGTTTACATTTTATTTCTTTGTAAGGCTTATATAAGCCAATAGCTTGCTTTGAATAAACGATGCTTTTTGTGCTTAGAGATTATAATAGGCATTTAGTTCTTAATTTAGAATTTACGTGGAATAACTATTCTATAGGTCAAGGTTTTTATTGCTTGTTTTTTTTTTTTTTTTTGCAAAATAAAGGTAACAATTTATTCGACATTATAGAGAACTAAGTTGCTTATTTCTATAATTTCAATTTAATTGGACTAGAATGATCAATTATTGCCTAACGAGTTTAATATCATTTTTTGAAAGTAGGCTGTGAATTATAATCAACCTTGAAACAAAATGGGGGAAAAGGGAAAAACGTGAAGTTTTTTAATTGTTTTTTTGTCTTTTTTACTCAAAAGGCATATAAATAGGTTTATCATAAAGAATTATGGCTTTTACACTTAATTACATATCTAAATAGACTCGTATTATATTTATATTAAGATTAAAATATAAAATAAAAAATATATAGATATGTTATCTAACAAAGACATATAAAACCTCAAGTTTCTTCTTAGGGCAGATTTTTTAAAATGTGAGATAGCAAAGGGAGACCCTTCGGTTTTTTACTTTTGGAACCGTAAATTAGGCTTGGGTTTTGAGGATTTTAAGTGTTTTTATTGTAAACATGTTGTCTAATTCTATGCCCTAACTTTTACTTTCCTAATAGATGATCATAACTTTTACCTTGAAATGAAGAAGTGATTCAATAATAATCTACCAAAATTTCTTCTTTGGTTAAAGCAGAGTTCAATTAGAAAGATGAAACTTTAAATAAGTTCTCCAATAAATTGTGAGAAAACTTAAATAGCTTTCATTAATTGAATCTACTAAACCATATATTGATAGACATAAATCTGAATGTACCGAGGTATAGCCTATAAGAACCAAATGCTAGTCCCAAACAAGTAAATAACAACCACACAATGACACAAATGAAAAGAGAGTGATTGGGGGCTTAGTCCTCACGTTGACAAGATTAATAATAACTTATATGAAGTTGTTGGAGACAGAATCATCCCCATTATTTTCATTCCCCTTCCTTGAAAATGGAACCCAATAACTATAAACTATGATTATTATTAAATAATTACTAAAAAAAACTTTCTATAAAAAATATTTTATCTAAAAACCACATTATATATATATATATCAAACTCGTCAAAAACTATAAAGCTGTGATTATTATTAAATAATTACCAAAAAACTTTCCATAAAAAATATTTTATCTAAAATCCGCATCAATTAATTTTTAAATATCTCAAATTTCAAATATATATATATATATATATATATATATATATATATATATATATATATATTATCAAAAAATTCAATAGTTAAGCTGGTGTTAAGAAAAATATTGTTATTAATGCATTTTTTAGATAGAAGATTTTTTTATAGGATTTTTCTAGTAGTTGTCCATTTGGTATAGTTATTGGAAAATCCTCTAAAATATTCACCTATTTATTTTTAAATCTTCAACTAATTTATTTCTAAATCTTCCATTAAAAATAATATTTTTTTAATAAAATACTCAATAGTTAACTGATGTTAAATTAAATGTTCTTAAATCTCTTAAATCCAAAATAATATAGTTATGTTAAGCTGGGATTAACTACTGAGTGTATAGAATAAGAAAATATTGTTGCGAATTTGAGAGATTTAAAATAAATTGGTAGCTTTTTTAAATAAATCTTTTTAGAAAATTTTTCTAGTAATTATCCTAGATAGATTTAGAGTTAATTAATTAGACATCTATATATTATTATTTTTTCATGTTAATATTGGGAGAAAATTTTTGGGTAGATACCGGTAAAAACATGCAGCGTAGTGAGCAACACATAGAAAACAAACTTTCCACCTTTTTTTAAATTTTGATGTGATAATGAAATTTCAAATTGATTTCTGAGTAAATTATATTATAGTTCTACTGTTTTTAGCCAAATAATTGGGTCCCTCTATTTTAAAAATCCCTATAGTGTATCTTTATATTTTTATATCCAATCCATTTATAACTTATTAGTCCTTAATGTTAAATTTTCATTAATGAGTATTACGAAACTGTCACCATTTTAGTTGGATGACTAAATTATGATCTTTGAAACCAAAAGGACTAAATAATTACTTATTGGTACTTTTACCTACAAAATTGGACACATGCTCATCTAGAATTTCCTCCAGATTTCCTGGAAATTCTTTCGATTTGCTAGGTATACTATTATATACAGCAAATATATGCATTGGAATTTGGATATTTAACTAAGAAAAAAGGGGGCAAACAGACGGAAGAAGCTACTAATATATAATCATCAAAAGACCTTTTAACTAGCAGGTCCCAGATTTTCTACAGAAACTATATATACATTTCATTCCCAAGTTGGTTCATAAGTCAAAAGCAACTCTACACTACACAGTTTTCCTTCATGAGGAAATACTTACAAAAACCAAAAGATGCTTAGCACGATTACATTTCCTTTCGAACCTACAAAATACAAGCCCTTAGTGTTGTTATAACAAGTGCACATGCTGAGAGTAGGAAACTTGAAAAGACTATCAAGGGGGCTGGAGTGCTACATCTATATCTTACAGCAGCAAAAAAACAAAAGAAACCAGACCCTAAAACTTGCTGGCAGTATCAACCATATCTTGTCATGTTCCTCCACTTATCCTTCAAATCAACCTGGAGAAATCATTAAGGGAAAAATAAACGAATAATGCTCAATGTTAAAACAAAGAAACATTGCCAGCTAAAAACATAAACACTACACGATGATAGATCTTGTTTACCTCGGTTCTCTCTTGAAATCATTAAGGATTGGCATCATCCACTTCCGTTTGATTCAGGTTTTCTACAGAAGCTTCAACAGTGTGATTGGCTGAAGGATTGCATGCATCGGTATCTTTTCCAGACTGATTTTCAGCTGAAGGCTTAGCTGAAAGGAGGGATGAGCCTGCATCTTTTCCATTCTGGTTTTTTACCAAAGGATCAGGATTCATTATTTTTCTAGCCAGTTCAGAAATAACAGTATCTACACCTTCTCCACATTGTGTTTTGGCTAAAGTACCCTGATTAGATAATTTTCTTGCCATTTCAGCAATTAAATTTCCAGCCAGCTGTAAGGCATCAGGAAGAGGATCCTTAACCCTTGCTTGCAGCTCCTCAGAACTAGCTCTGAGTGCTCCACGCACTCTATTCACTTCGTCTGTAGTTATAGTGTCATACAAACAACATGATATGTCTCCTACTGCAATTTCTGTATCTGTGATCTTGACGGGACCTTTTGATCGTTTGATAGGAACAACATGCTTGTGTTTACGAACCATATTGTTCTTCTGAATTTCTACATGATTTAAATAAATAAAAAAACAGAGAAGAGAGAAGACGACAGTTATAACATGACGATGGAGCATTAACTATGCCGAACAGCACAGCATGAAGTAACATATAAAAAGGATTATTTTCATTCAGTTAATTCTCAATTACAAGAGAATTATAAACCTCAAGCGAAAAAAAAAAAAAACAAAACAAAACCATCATGAAAGTACAGAATCTAGACACGAAAAATGAATAGAACTAAGAAGAAGGCATACTTCCACGTTGCATTCGGCCCACAAAACAATCCCAATTCATGTCATAAACTAAGCCAACTAGTAATAATAAGCTCAAATGACACACTTGACTGTTTATTCTTCTCTTGTCATCAGATTTCCTCAAACATCCAAAGTAGTCAAGCAAATCCTAATAACACACAGTACTGCCAACACAAACCCATCAAATAGTAATAAAAAGTAAACTGCAGAAAACCATGACTAGCAACCGAAAAAGAAAAAAGAAAAAACCCACCTCCACTTTTCTTTGCAGGCGTATCAGCAGGCCCCAACTCCAAACTCCTGTCATCCAACCTCAAACATGCCTCTCCAGCTTCGACATCAACACAAACCCTACCGCCGCCCACATTGACTTCCATGGCCCCGCTTTCACCACTCCCTCCCTCACTACATTTCTTTGCATTCTTATCAGCAGGCCCCAACTCCAGATTCACATCTGCCAACCTTGAACATCCCTCTCCAGCATCAACATCAGTACAAACCCTACTGCTACCTACAAATTCGAAAAAAGCATTCCGTTTGAGATAGGCCTCCTATATTCTCTTCAAGAACTTGATCTCAGTTGGAATCTGCTGGCAAGGGAGATACCATGGCAACTTGGTCAACTGAAAATGCTAGAAATGTTGAATCTCTCTCACAACATGCTTTATGGTTTCATTCCAACAACTTTGGAAGATTTGGGAAGCTTGATAACTGTGGACATATCCTACAATGAGCTAGCGAGTCCTATTCCAAACATCAAAGCCTTTCAAAAGGCTCCATTTGGGGCATATATGAATAATACAAGCCTATATGGCAATGCTAGCAGTCTGAAGCCTTGCAATTCTCTTCTCAAAAATGGTGCACGGAAGAGAAATAGAATTGTCATTTTGATGGTACCACTCTTATTAGGCAGCCTATTTCTATTCTTTATCGGTGTTGGAGGTTTTCACATTCTCCACCAAACAGGTAGAAATAAAAAAGCCCAATTAATGGAGTGACAATGTCAAAACATATTTGCAGTATGGAGTTATGATGGGAAGATGGTCTACGAGAACATCATTCAGGCCACTGAAGATTTCGATTCCAACTACTATATAGGGGAAAGAGGCTATGGAATTGTTTACAAAGCAACTTTGTCGGCAGATCAAGTGGTTGCTGTAAAGAATCTTTGCCAATCACAAGAGGGCAAGTTCACCAATTTCAAAGATTTTAGAAGTGAGGTTCGTGTGTTAATTAACATACGGCATCGAAATATTGTGAAGTTATATTGTTTCTGCTCACATAGAAAGCGTTCCTTTCTAGTTTATGAGTTCATAGAAAAGGAAAGTTTGAGGAAGATTTTAAATGATGAGGATCGAGTAATAGTGTTCTTTTGGATGAAGAATATGAGGCTCATGTTTCTAATTTCCGCACAGCAAGACTCTTGATGCCGGACTCAAGCAATTGGACTTCATTTGCTGGCACCTTTGGATACACGGCTCCAGGTGCATTTCTTGATTTCTTTCCTAACATATAGATATATCAATCATTAAATTTTTCTTTATATATTTCCTGCTTTAATTATAAAGCTAATTTTTCTGTCGAATTGGCTTACACAATGAAAGTGAACAAAAAATGCGATGTCTACAACTTTGGAGTGGTAACAATGAAAGTAATTATGGGAAGGCATCCAAGTGATTTCATCTCATCTCTTTCATCATCAAAATTTCCCCTGTCATCATCCTCAGAAATACACCAGCATACATTGTTGAAGGACATTATAGACCAAAGGATCCCACTTCTGAAAAATCAAGTTGCAGATGGTGTAGTCCACGTCACCAAAATAGCATGTGCATGCTTGGTTGCTGATCCCAAATTTAGGCTAACCATGAGAAAAAGTTGCTTCAGAGCTCATAATTCGATGGCCTCCGTTGCAGAAGCCATTCTCCACAATAACATTGCAAGATCTGTTGAGTGGCTGAGAATTTTGTAGAAGAGCTTCTAAATATTATATTACATACAGAGTCAATATGTTCCTTTGAATAATTTCGTAAATTTGTTTGTAATGCATTATTTCTGTTTTGTATTTTGTTTCTTCAACAATCATTATGTGGTCGGGAAACATCAACGAGCTACAACTCCTTAAAGAAGCTGGCAATTCTCCCAAAAAGTTGTTTTTGCTTACAGTTTGAAGCAACAAAAATGATCCTATTGAGCTTGGAATTTCACCTGACAAATTTTTGTTGCCTAGATTCAGAACAATCATTTGTTGCAAGTGCAAGAAATGGATCCGGAGAGGTTATTATTGGATTAGAATGAAAAAGTGGTAATAGTTACTTGAAAAACCATTCTCACTCTTTCTCCACCTCCTCTCTCACTCCTCATATTCTTCTTTACTTCTTTCTTTGCTTTTGCTCCTACTTCCTCTGCAACTTTAATATTTGGTAATTATAAAAAAGCTGAGGCTCTTTCAAATGCAAAGCAAATATTGCCAATCTCTCCTTATGCAGAATGAGTACAGATGCAGCTCTCTATAGATGTTATCAAACTTTTTTCTTAAACATAAGATTTTTAGTTCTAGGCTATATATATATATAAAATTTCTGTTTATTCCAAAATTTCTCAAGATTTATTATCTAGCTAACCTGTTTTTCAGCATCGAATCTGATTGATATATCCATAAGCTATTCAATTTTGTGGTCGAAAAGGGTGGAACCTGAATTGTGCCCCAAGCTTGCATCATTCTTTTCAAGGTTCTTATCAATCTGTTTTATGAATTACCAGACCATAAATAATCAAGAGCATTAATTTTAAAAATGTACTCTTTTTTTAACTAGCATAAGCAATGCTGAAAACAGATTCAGCTAGATAAGGACCTGGACAAATAATGAAACTGAAAAATATCTGTTTTTTTGTCAAACTCTACGAAACTGTATGCATAAAATTCATGTCTCGTCTCCAGTGATTCTGCACCACCATTGAGGACAAGAACAGGTAATGAGAATAGATTGATGCAAGTCCATTAGCTTTCAAAACTAGACATTGCCCATCTGAGGCTTTTAGGTATGCAAAGATGGACTGAGAAAGAAAAAGCAGCGAGCCATAAACAAAAAGATTCAATCAACCCTGTAAATACTTTCACCAACGAAGTAACCACACAATTCATCAAACACTTAGCAAACCATTGATCCGCATCTCCATAGGATATAAAGCACAGAACAGTATGGAGAGAACAACTTGATACAAGTGCATTAGCATTCAAAGCTAAACTCTTTAGCTTTGCCAAGATGGACTGTGCATTAAAGTACAATTTGATTATAACATCACCGTTGTTTTTTCTCACCAAAAACTTCAAGCGCCTCACCTTGGTCAAAATACCATTGAAACAAAATAACAAAATATATTAGAAAAAAGTATAAAATGTTTGGCAACGTTTCATGATTATTTAGAAAATCCCTACACAAGCACTTTAACAAAGCCCCTGAGGAGGTACCAAGTTTTTATTCCGAGCAGTTTTTGTGTCCACGTCCTGATTCAGCAACTTCAATGAAGCCTTGGTCTTCAAACCATATGTTCTGACTTCTGTAAGCATAAATACAAGAAATTCAAAGCTTTGCTTGAATTAACTTCCAATGTAGAATACTACAGAATGTATTGTATGTAAAGATCATAGATTTAAATGCCTGCAATTTTGTTTACATAACAACACGATCATAGATTTAAATGCCTGCAATTTTGTTCACAGAATAACATGATCCCGCAACAGAAGGATCACGGAAAGCATTAGAGATATTCGGCCGCAATCATTGGGAATCTTGGCTATTTAGGTAAAGAACAAATTCTTTTGCTGCTGTTTTCTTTTGTGCTCTAATCATTATTTTCATATTGGTGGTGGTATATGATATTTTCTTATTACATATTTTCTTATTACACGACAAAGTTGAAAATCTCAATCCCTTTGAATTTGCAAATTGCAAGTTATATCCTGTTTATATTTTAAGCAGATAAAAGAAAATTCATTTCACTTGTTCATGTATGCCAATTCTCAGCACTTAGAAACAATCTAACCAAATCAAATTGATATCATGCCTCTAAATCAGATAAAAATAAAGGGTCAGTGAAAAATAACCATGTGATGCAACTGAAAAGAAAGTGATCCGTCAATGATTCTACTTGATCCTTATTTCTTGTAAATGCCTTCTATTTGGGATTATTTTTTTTTTTCTGATTTAGAAATCTTAAGCCCATTAGAAATATTTGTTTAAAAAGTATTCATTACTCCGGAAAAAGTATGGGTCATGGTAAAATTAGGATATATTCAGAATTGGTTATAATTCAGAAGAAATCAGGGAAAAAAAAAAAAACAGTCGTGAGTAATAGAAGGCCAAGCACCTGTACAAGATCTTTTCCATCAGCAACTTTCACCGAGTTCAAGGGGAGATTAGATCAGCTTTGATGAATAAAAGAGGAATTGGTAGAAAATTGGAAAGCTGAAGCAAATGAAACCCATTTTGATAAAAATTAAATAAAAAGACAAAACCATAGTAGTTAGGGAAATCCAGAAGATTCTATGTAAAATAGAATACAGCGCATTAGGGTGGGGGGTATAAATAGAAAGATGCGGAGATAATGGGCGAAGGATATGCGTGACATTAGGTTTCAAGACTCCAGATTGATTGCCGGCTAGGTTGACCAGGCATCGAATGGAAGTGAAACCGGTAGGGTTAGTGGTTTGATTGATGGATTGGAGAGCGTTAGAGAGTGAGGGTAGAGACTGGCGGTGTAGAGGAGGACTAGGAGGTGAGGGAGGATGTGTTAAGGTGGTGGTGGAGAGGAGGCGTCTGGGGAGGAGGACGGAGAGATTACGGCGGCGGGAGGTGACGGAGCGAGCTAGAGCTGGGATCATTTTCGATAAGAGAGAGTGAGAGTAAGAAATTAGGAATTCGGAGAATATGATGTCAGCAGACGGATTTTGGGGGCTATTTATCAAGATGGATGGGATTTATTGGACTTGGGCCTGCAGAACTTGAGTTAGAGACTCTTGGGTTAGGATTGGGCCTAAAACACTTGAGTTAAATAAATTATTTTATTTAAGAGGATAAAATGGTATGTGTTCTATTTAAGTCTAAATTATTTGGTTCAAGATTAATCGTATCTACTTAATCTATTTAAATTAATATAATTAAAATTCGTGGTCAAGCTAGGCAATGAAATACAAAATTTATTACCAAACACCTATATGATGCTTTCAACTTTTTTGCTTTGAGAAAATTAGCTAAAAGCTAAAAAATAAGATGCCAAATAAGCTATAAATTCATAATTTTATTTAAAAAAATTTTAATAGGCATTTGGTTTCTAATTTAGAATTTCTTTGTGGAATAACTATTCTATAAGTCTAGGCCGTTATTGCTTGGAATAACTAAGTTGCTTATTTCTATAATTTCAATATAATTGGACTAGAATGATCAATTATTTTTCAACTTTTTACTATCACTTTTTGAAAGTAAGCTATGAATTATAATCAACCTTGAAACAAAATGGAAAAAAACATTAAGTTTTTTATTTTTTTTTCTTTTTTACCGAAAAAGCATGTGACTAGGCTTATCATAAAGAATTACAGACTTTTACACTTAGTGAGTATCCGAATAGACTCAAATTGTATTTATATTAAGGCTAAAATAAATAAATAATTAATTATATATAGATATGCTATCTAACATGGACCCATTAAACCTCAAGTTTCTTCTTGGGGCGAGTTTTTTTAAATGTGAGGTAGCGAGAGAGAAACTCCTTGATTTTTTACTTTTGAAATCATAAATTGAGCTTGGGTTTTGAGGATTCCGAGGGTTCGTGTTGGAAGCATTCTATATCACTAAAAGAAGTGAACATTTCACCGTTTATTTACTATAGCACTGGACACAATGCTTTGTGGATGGCATTTTTATGATTTTTTGGATTTTGGTGGATGAAAATTATGCACTTTGTTACACTTAGGTCCCTAATATTTTTGAATAAATATTTCAATCCACATCTTCATTTGCTCATCCGTTTCAATCCCTAGGTGTAGAGAGAGGAAGGGAGGAAGAGAGAGACGAGAGGAGAGAGAGATCACCAAGCAAAGCTTATTTCAACAACTTTAGTCGAAAAAAATCTATTAGATTTTTTATATTTGGGAGATGAGTTTATTAATGTTAGTTTCAAGCTATTAAACAATTAAAGAAAATGATCAAAGCCAAAAAAAGAAAAAAAAGTTCGGATTTGATTGTGTATTTTGCTTTGTTTTAGTGTATATTAAAATAATTTTTAAGATTTTAGATATGTTTATGGGTTTTATTTTAGTCATCTAGAAATGTCTGGGAGAAAAAATAATATTAAAATTTAATTTTTAAAGATTTAAAATTTAATTCTCGATTTTTCGAAAAAGATTTCGATAATCTTGAGTTCGGCAAAAGTTGCAATTTGGGGGGGGGGGGGGGGGGGGCTTTATATATATATATATAAAAACCTGCGAGCGAGGGCCAGGGCTGGGTTGGCCATATATATATATATATAAAATTTAATTTTGGGTTCAATGACAACTGTGGAATATTGACTTTCGTCAACCAGGTCGGGCCTTTTTTAGGCATTAATTTCATGAGCAGACATGCTTTTTGCAAAGTATAATGCTACCATTTTAATTACCAAACGAGTATGTGGATGATAAAAACACTGTAAAAAACAATTCTTCTAGATTTTCGAGAAATCTAGCAAAAGATGAATAGATCTTAAGGTCAATATTATCCTGCAAGGGCACATTTATACTGTTTGCATTGATCAATCAATGAGAAGAGACAAATCTGCCTCACTTTCATGCAGGAGAGATTTAAAACTTCGATAGTAGTTAGACCAACGATTTTATATAGAACAAAAAAATAATTTATTAAATCCAAATCTAATGATATAATAATGGCCGTTGAGGGGAGGTGAAATCGGAAGTAAGATGGTCTTTTTTTCTTTATATATATATATATATATATATATATATATAATAAATCGTTATTTACGTACAGTTTAAAGATAATATAATATATATAATTTTTTTTTAAATTTTAGTTTGAACATATATATTTAATTATATTATTTTTATTATTTAAAATTTATTTATTATTATTTTTTTTATTAAAACTCTCGTCAAATTAATCTTTTGATATAATTTTATTTATTAATAAATTTAGTTTCTTAATATATAAATTTTGGAATAAAAATTTAGAAAATTAGTGTTTTATTTTTTAAAAGTATATTATTATAGTTTATACAATAAATTCTTCTTTTGCTTTTTAAATGAGTGTTTTATTTTTTAAAATATACTATCATAATTTATAAATTTTAAGATAGATAGAGAGAGAGAGAGAGCTAAAAGTATGTTTTAGATAGTTTAACTCAATTTTTTTTAAAAAAATATATTAATAATCGATTAAAAGAATTCATAAGTTTTATTTGTTTTTTTATATATATTTATTTAGAATTTATCGAACCAAATTTGTTGTTATTTTTATTTTAATCGTTGACTTTAATATATTTCATACAATTTAGATGGTTTTTTGTGTATGTGTGTGTGTATATATATATATATGCGTGCATGCATGCACACACATCATTAGTTTTGTTAAAAATTAAATATATATCCGTACACATAATATCAATTTTTTGTTATTTATTTTTTCATATTTTATTTTTTTATATAAAAAAATAAGTTAGATAAAG